AAAAAAAAAAAAAAAAAAGAAAGTAAAAACACTTAATACTAAGTTCTAGGTGGAACCTAGCATCTAATGGGTGAATAATATATATTTTTTCTTTTCATTTTTGTACTGTATACCTGTACAATATAATTATGAAGTTGGAGTTTCGTTCATTTAGGCAACTTCCCATTAAAGTCATGTACTTACCTTGGTTTTCAGCTGGTCTTAGATTTGCTAAAGCAACAATCTGATGCCCAGCAGCAATGCACTGCATCATATTATAGCAGCTGTCCTTCCCACCGCTAAAAAATAAATCAATAGAGAAACAAATATTATGCTACTGACAAATATTCAACATAAAATCACTAGATATCAAAACAGATATTTACTTAATTTTTCAGAAAATATTAGAATGTAAAAAAAATTAATTTCTAAATCATAAACAAACTGAGCAGATGAATCTGAATGTCTAGGGCTGCTATTCATGGGAGCTTAAGAAACTATGTGCCTTTATAAAAGAATATTCTAAACAAAATATTGATAACTTTTTGGTTTGTGATAGCAGCTTTACTTAATATATGAGCTGCTTTGCAAATAGAAAATGATTTCAATTTACACCCCAGCTAAACACTTATTATATAATTATATATGAAATATATATATATATTCCACTTAAGGAATATATATGATAATATATATTATTCTACTTAAGGAATATATACATACAAATTTCATAGAAATTATTGAAAAAGTAAAAAGAAAAAAAAAACTATTCTCTATGAGAAAGTGAAAAAAAAAATTAATTCTGCTCCACCACAAGAAATGTAACTGGTGACCATTAGCAATTAAAGGAACAAACTAAAGACTTGAGTATCAATCTAATGACAAAGTTTGACACACTGGCTGGGTACAAATTTTGTAGAGATAAAAAACACAATGCTGACTTACACTGATGATGTTAAACATCAGCACTATCAGTACTTCACCCATCACATACATACATGTATTATACACATACACATTATATATATATATATATATATGATGGCAGCAGAACAGGGCTTGAGCTATAAATCTAATAACAGATTAAAAGGAACTTCTAAATTCTGGTTTTAAATCTACCTAAGGCAGAGGCATATCACTTAGTCAAGACAATTAGTAGTTCATCTATATGACTGAATGGCAACCTATATGCTATTTTGGTTTAATATTCTACTGCTTCCCACTATCATTATCATTGTCTCTCTCCCTTTTATATTTCTTTTTCCTCATGTTTCCCTTTTTTCCAGTATTTGCTTAAGGTCTGCAAATGTATCCCCAGGCAATATTTAGACCTCTTCATGGCCCAAGAAACTGATGACCCCAGAAGCTGGCCCTCTTGCCTTTTGTCTTAGTTCTCAAATTTCCTGCTTCTTCCACTGTCCCATCAATAACAACACTCATTCCAAAACTTCTTGAGGGAAAGGAGAGTGCTATGGGCAAAGTGAAGTTTTCAAAAGTCCATTCTTCCTCTCTTCAGATTCGGTACCCCCTAAGTATGTCTTTCACACCCTTCCCTATCAAACCTTACTGTTCTGTTTCCCTACGACAAAAAGATATGACTAATTGTTTTAGATACTAAAGATTAAAGGGTGTGCATCCAGAATCAGAACTGAGCCTTACAATTCATTTTGAAATATGCCAACATTACAAATAAGGTTTTAAGTAGTATTTACCAAACTGGGTTCTATGGAACACTGGTGTCCAACAAAATATTAACCAATTACTCTAACAAAAGGTTTTGAATATCAGACAAGCTTGGGAAATGCTGAGTACCTTACTGTCCTCTTAGAATTCCATTAAGTACAAACGTATGTTAGGTGAGAGGTCTTTCAGATCTGTTTTAGTTTCCATCTCTGGGATACTAAGCTAAGTCATTTAATGTGCTTGGGTTTACAGACTTCATTGAAAAATTAGTGAATGGCCTGCCTCGATAATCCTCAAAGTATCATTCAACTATGAAATTCAAAGACTCATGTATTTATTAGAAAAATAATGTTCTTATAAAGATATGTTAGAACCCCAGTTTCACATATTCCCTAAAACACTCACACACACATCTCATCTCCCACTGTTGCACACACATACAAATCACAAATAAATTCACTGTGTTCATCTGATAATATAGGTATTATATAATATGTAATGCATATATGTAGAATACATAGGCATCTATATCATAAGCATATAGGTAAATGCTTATGTATTCATACTTATAGCATATCTCCTAATACAGCTCTTACACTTTAGCAAGAATTTTCCAACATTGCTTTTTTTAGTAAATTATTATTTCTATTATACAGTAACATAGGCACATTACAGGTTATTTAGTACAACTGACTATACCAATCTTCTCCAATACTTCTAAGTATTTCGTTGTTGTGGATTACTTTAATCGATAAACTTTTGGTAAATGATGTAAATTTGAATTATTCACTTCCTGGGGTACTTTTAATTCTTAAAATAAGACACAGTGGTTAAAGCTTAATCATTCATTTTAAGAAGACATTTACTGAAAAACATTAATTATTGTGACATTATGGTCTAGTCTGCTAAAAATGACATTGAAGGAAAGGGAACCAGAATATTCCAGACACTACAATAGGGTTTGAAATGTCGTATCAAGCCCTTAATAGGTCAATACTTAACAGCCAGTATCAATTACCTAGGAGACTTAATGAAAACGTTTATGAAATTTTCAATGGGCTTACAAAAGCAAACACATCGTTGCACTGTATCTCAAACACTCTACAGGGTAAAATCTCGTGAAACAAATATTTAAGCAGTCCAAACTAACTTTTTAATGTTGCTAAATTGTTCCTTTCTGTCTCAGTTAACAGACTGAGTATGGAAGTATTTAAGCAGGCTTGTTTTTGGTTTGTCAGTCATAGGACTCATTTAGATACTTAAAGATGATTTGGTTACTATAGACATCAAACTCCTTTTGGATACGAAGTATGCTAGGGTAAGGTCACTCTAAAGCAATGACCAGAGTCCGAAGCAACAGCAAAGGATCTAGCATAAGACTAGTTCAACTCCGTCTCTACCACGAAGAAAGAGATCTCTGTACTTGAGTGCTCAAAGGCAGAAACACATACATGCCATAAGCAATCCACATCTGTCCTGACGAGCCATACAGGTGGGGTAGAATATGAGACAGGGGTGGACTTCTTGGGAAGGGCGGAACCACATACGACTAGGGAGGAAGCTAGACTACGAACGACCCAGCTGACCCTCTTCCTTCAGAAGAGGACGAAAAAAGCGAGAGGGAAAGGGTGAGGGTTATTAACTGAGTTGGTAGAATAAGGTAATGGCTTCAAACTTCACCGCTCATTAGAGCTTTAAAAAAAAAATCAGACGCCGGTCGGCGCAGAAGTAATTAAACCAATCCCTCTGGCGGTGGGGCCCAGGCGTCAATATTTTTTTTTTTTTTAATTCCCCAGTTAAATCCAATGGGAATCCAAGTTTGAGGGCTGGAAGGCCTCAGAGCCACCAACGGACAAGGAGGAGGCGTGTCAGCCCAGGACCGAGCCACCAGCGCTGGTCGGCAAAAGCCCGAAGGCTCCGCCTCTTCTTGTGGCTCGGAGGAGCCGCAGAACCCCCAGTGCACGGCTCGGGCAGAGATACCCTCTTTTTTGGCCCTAGCGGCGGCTGAAAGGGACGAGAGGCTGGCTTAAGAGGAGCGGGGCGGCTCTGCGGCCGCGTTACCTGATCAGAGCCGCGACCCTCATGCTGGGCGCAGTGCGCGTGCGTGCGTGCGTGCGTGCGGCGGGCGAGAGCGGGAGGTGGGAGGTCGTCGCCGCCGCTTGCGTGACGCGCCGCGGGGCCTCGCCCGGGTGTTCGCTTGGCCGCCTGTCAGCGAATCGGCGGTGCAGGCCCCGCAGCTGCCCGCGGGACACCTCAGCGCGGAGGGTGCGGCACGTTGGCAATTGACCCTGTGGCAGGGACATTTCGGCCCAGGCAACAATGATGTTTAGGCACGGCCTAACCACCTAAGTGAGGGCACTGAAGCTGCAGAGGAAGGGCAAGGTCTGCGTAGCAGAGCCCAAGCCCGGTGGCGCTGGATTTGTTTGGTAAGAGAAGGTTTAGCGTCCCAAATGCTGCAAGTTGACACACTTGTGGACGTACAGGCGCAGAAGTTTGTCCTCTCTCCCCCATCTACCCTAGGAACAACTGTACACATACGCTTTTTACGTATATCTCCTCTGTCCTCCAAACCTGTGTGTCCAGATGTGAAGCTGAGATCCCCAGAGACTGTGGTAATTTTTAAATCTGGGGCTAGCTCCACCACCTCTAGGCCCCGTACGGTTTTGGCTCCTGTTCAAGCTTCTGTGTATGACAAGGCCAGGCCAGGCTCTTCACCAAAGAGCAGTGGCCTTGCAGAAAGGGAACCTAGCTTCTAAGTTTATTTGCCAAGTATGTATTGAGTGCCTTTTGTGCACCAGGCACTGTTTTAGACTCCGTGGATACAACTGTAAATAAAACAAAATCCAGTCCCGGCATAGCTCTTAAATGGGGATGGGGAGAACAGACAATATATAGCTTAAAAGTAAATGTTAAGGAGTGAGAAGTGCTATTAGAAAGGAGCACAGAGGTATGGGACAGTCAGGTAGAGAGGCAAACTGCAGAGTTAAGTAGGGTCTATGTAGGCCTTATTGATGAGGTGAGAGTTCAGCCAACTTAAATAAAAAGAGTTAGCTGTATATATGATTAGGGTGTGCTCCAGACAAGAGAAAAAAAATCGAAGGCTCTAGGTGCGTGGTGTGTTTGTGGAAGAGATTGAGCAAAGCAGAGTAGTGTGAGAGGAGGTTAAGGTGATGGAGGGGAAAGATCATATAGGGTCTTGTAGGTCATTGCAGAATTTTGAAGAGGTGTTGTTAAATTTTAACATTTAACTTAAAATGTTAAATGTTAACATTTAACTTAAAATGTTAAAAGGATTGCAGTGTTGAGAATACACCTATTAGGAAGCTGTTACACTGTTCCAGTAGAGAGATGACGGAGCCTAGAATCAGGACGGTGAATTTGGGGATAAGTGAGAGGATTCTAGCTCTATTTTGAAGATAGAGCCAATAGAATCAGATTAGATATGGGATAAAACAGAAAGTCATGAAGGACGATGCCAAAGGCATGAATTAAGTAAGTTAATATATGTAGGAAACTTAGAATTATGCCAGGTACATTGTAAGCGTTCAATGTTATTTTGATGTTCTCAACTCCAGTATTCAGTATGAGTGACTAGATCAGTGACTGTCTGCGTTATCAGTTTCAGCATCTAGAATCATACAGCTTTAAGATTTTGCAATTATGAATATTTGCCAAATGAGTCAAGTATTTAAGAAGTTTGCAGTCTATTTTGAGGAGATAAATACATGGAAAACACACTTATAATGATATGGCTCTGGTGAGTGAAGGAACACCAGAGCTCTTGTCTCATGCCAAATTGGATAAAATGACACAGGCACACATGGAATAGTTTTAAGGAGTGGAGAGTTAATAGGCAAGAAAGAAGGAAGAAGCTCCCATGTACAGACACAGAGGGAGGGGGTCTTCAGAGCCTAGAAAGGAAACCCCAAGTGCCAGGGATACCAGCCAGTTAGATGAGGAGGCTGGAGGAGGCAGTGTCTGATTCGCATAGGGCTCAGGGGATTAGTTTGACCAGGCACTGTCATTCACATAGCCTGAGAAAAAACTGGCCCTCCCACCTTAGCCTTTTAATACGCAAAACAGGGAAACTTCACATTCTACACTTGTGGGGATATATGGGGTTAAGGGCAGGAGGACAGCAGTGGGAATCACCATGTTTGTGTGGACCCAGTTTCTAATGGCTAGCATTTGCATATCAAAGGTTGCTACCCGGGCTCTTAGAGCCTGGGCTTTCCTGCTAGACAATAAACATTTCTGGAGCTGCTTTAAGAGACAAAAACTTTCCAAGGACCCCTTTTCCTATCTGTCTAAAATGATTTTTTAATCCTATAATAGTAATACAAGAGAACATATTTTTAAAGTAACAAGTTATGTAATGCATATGGCAAGAGCCCCATGAGTCAAACCCACAAGGTAATAGCTGGAATGAGGATGGGACTTGAAAGATGAGTGGAATTGAACAGGAATAGGTGGACCTTCTGAACAAGATAGCACAACAAGAATGAGCATAGTGTGTTGGACACCAGTGGGTAGACTAGTTTGACTAGTTAGGAGGGTATATTGGAAAGAAGGAAAAATAAGTTGGATAAATAGGATGAAGCCAGATTATCCAGGGTCATGGAAAACCAAAATGAGGAACTTCAAAACCAGGTAAGTTACTCTGGCTCTTTGACATCATTTTTCAGGAGATTGTGTGAAGTAGCAGTAATTAACATGATGAGTGATTTTGATAAAATAGGGACTCCCAAAGATGCCAATGGATATCTTTTCCACCAAGGGACATCTTTTCCTTGCCACTTCCCAAGAGGGATTAAGAGAGGAGATTCTAAGATTACCTTCCTAAAACTACATCTTTAAAATTACATTTTTGTTTCTCTCTATACTCTGTAAGCTTCATTTTAAGACATCCTGAACAAACAGGTTTATTACAGTATGTATATCCTGGCATTAAACTGTATATTAGGAAATATGTTGAGGCCATTCTCCAAGGTCACCCAGTTTTTAGCTTGATGGTGGTGCTTTCCCACTCTGGATTCTTCCTAGCACCTTGCGTTAAGTATCTCTCCCCCAGGTCGTTTTTACTCCTTGAACAAAATTTCTCTCAGTACCTATTCCCTCCTTTAAAAATTTTCTACCAGAATTCTTTCAATTAATGATTTTTTTCTGGTTGCCTAATATAACACTGTAATGTGTGTTTTCTTAAAATGTTTATATTTCTTCACATTATTGCCTTTCTCTCAGAAATACTTTAAAAGGCTCTGTGCTTCAATGTCCTATCAAGGCCATCATAAAAACAGCAGGTTCAATTCATTCTGGTACAATAGATAGACTGATATTTCTGAAATTAACATATGTCAGATTGGTCTTGACCCAGCCATCAGAGTTATTCTTAGAGTCATACATATTTTTGGAGAAGTTTTGTTTTTTTTTTTTCATAGCTAACTGAACAAAACCAGAGCAGTTATTGACCCCTGAAAAACTTGTTAAAAACTAGAGGTTAAGCTATGCTCTAACTTTTCCCATGGAGAATCTTTCTCAAATCAGTCTAGTCACCTTTGTGGGTGTCATTTTCTTTTGCTGAAATTTAAAAACAACACCTAGTTTGTCAGTTACAAGTTTCTAAGAATTACATGTGCAGGAGATTAGAGAAAATCCCTGTGAAGGACAAAGAGAGATGAGCAAGAGAAGGCAGGGAGACTCCAATTGGAATGCAAGATCAAAATCTGAAAAAGCAGAATGAGAAGGAAGAATAGGTTGAAAGACCTGGTTTGCAGGGTCATTCTGAGAGACTCTGCCAGGTCAGGAATGCTAAGCCAAAGTAGTTAATTAGAGGAATTCCAAATTCGTCAGGAATTGCCCAGTTCTTGTATCTCTGCTATGCTCAGTCATTGTCTGAGAACAGTGCAGGAAAAACTTAGTCTGGTGGAAACTCAGTGGTGAATCCCAAAGTGACGTAGCTGGAGACTGTAAATCAGTTCATAACAATGTTCATGGTGTCACTTCATGATTTGTAAACCTCTCTAAGGATTAACGTAGAAAAGGGAAGTTAATAGGACAAACTATCATTGCAGGTGGTCTGGGACCATGCTAGTACTTACCCTGTCCTCCACTTTCCACTCTATATTCCCCTCACTCTCAGTTCTCACTTCAGCAGATCTTGTTGATTTACTTGGTGGCATGACCTACACATTCACTCCTATGTGGTCTTGGGCCTTTGTCATCATACTCTTCTCAGTCCATGGCTGCAGTTTGTGTCCATTCACAGTTATAATTAGTAAGGGCATACTGAGAGGCACCCACATGGATCATCTGGGTTCTACATGTATTTCTATTTGTCCCCGAGGTATAAAGGCAGTCCCACCTCCTCATACTAATCCATTATCCTTGTTTGCTGACCCCTGGCTGCAAAGAGCCAAAAAGTGTTATACTACACATAGCTTATAGTTCATTGGATTCCCACTCTATCCCTTTGCAAGAGAGAAACCTCTAACTGTACTCAGCCCAGAGTTGGGGGAGGTGAAACAGAGTTCTCCAGTGAGTTATTGGGAGTGATTGTAAATAAAGCCATTCCTGATTTCACCTTTTGGTTTCTAGATCCATGTATTTGTCCTACTAGAGAGACAGTGCCATGTAGAAATCCCTGATTAGTGCCTATGCTAAATACTGAGAGATGTCATGCCATCCTTGCAGATTACTGTCTCTGAGCTGCTAATGTAGCTGTGACTTAAGTAGGCTTTTTTAGTACTCTGTGAGGCCAGCTTCACCTAAATAGTACAGTATATGATCCAATAATTAGACCCCATGGGTATGACCTACTCTACTGTACTTCCTTTTCTATGACATAAGTTTTCTTGCAGATGTTCTGCTGAGTTGGGATTCTGTGACTAGAGAGGCATTCTGCTAGTGGTGCCAGCTGAATCTTTGCAGACAGGAAAGGCCAGGGTCTAGTACCTGTTCAATCAAAGCCCAGGAGCAGCTAGGGGAGGCATGGCTTGACATGAACCCCACAGTTGATCCAAAGGTGTGGCAGTTGAAGACTGTCAGTCAGCTGTGCTCTCCGCAGCAGGTGCCTTTGAGGGGAGATCTAAGTGGAATACCTGTAAGGCTGCCAGAGCAAGACAGTAACTCTCACAAAATCACAAGAGGAGTGGGGACGTTTGGAGTGCTTTGCTGGAGTAAGAA